TGTGTGTGTGTGTGTTTGTGTGTGTCGGTGTGTGTGTATGTGTGTGTGTGTGTGTGTGTAATTGAGTGAGCGTGTGTCTATGTGTATGTGTGTGTGTGTGTGTGTGTGTGTGTGTGTGTGTGTATGTGAGTGAGTGTGTGTGTGTCTATGTGTTTGTGTGTTGCCAGGGGTGGGGGTAGGAGGGGTTGGCTGGAGTAGGCGTGGACATTAGGATCACAGAAAAGGGAAAAGGGGTTTAAGATATTTATTGAAAGAGAGAAAGAAATTGGTGGGAGGGAATGGTGACCTTAAGTAAGGGGGGGGGGGTAAATTAAACACACGGAGGGTTTTAACAAAATATATGTACTCTATCGTGAGCGTAACGGATGGAGGAGAGACGATAGGTGAATCCTCCGTCAAGGGTATTAATAAATCAAATACTATCGTGAGTGAGAGATGGAGAAATAAAGGTATTAATAAAACACTATTGTGAATAAGGGTATTAATCAAACACCTGTGAGTTAGAGATGGAGGAATAAGGGTATTAATAAAAAAAACGATCGTGAATGTGAAAGATGGAGGAACGAGGAAAAGGTGAATCTTCCGTCAAAGACATTAATGACACTCTAACTTGGGTGGAAGATGGAGGAACAACGGTTTTATTCAAACATTATTGTGAGTGAGAGAGAGATGGAGAAAAGTGAGAGAGAAAAAAAAGTGAGGGTGCGGTCAAGGCCAAAGAGAGACAACTCACGTTCTCCGGCTTGTGAGCGCCGGGCCCCGGCTTCTGGGTGGCGTCCCCTGGCATCATGTTGCGGCTGGTCATGCTGTAGAGCGGGGCCTTGTCCTTGTAGATGCCCGGGTCGGTGGTGTTGTAGGTGCCGGGTCCGGGGGCCTGTGGGGGACATGATGGGGGACATGAGGGGGACATAGTGGACACACTTTCAGGAAGGCAAGGTGCTGCATAATAAGGAAAGTGTTAGATTGGAATCCACAGTGTAAAAGATCAAGGGGAAGACCACGTGGAACATGGAGAAGAGTCACGGAAAAGGATGTACCGAAAAGTGGGAAGACGTGGAGTGACATCAACATGGGGTATATAGGGGGGACATTAAGTGGACATGGGGAGATAAAGGGGGGGCATGAGGTGGACATGGGGGGATATTAAGGGGGGGCATGAGGTGGACATGGAGGGAAATAGGGGGGCATGAGGTGGACATGAGGGGATACAGGGGAAGGGAACATGAGGGGACTTGGGGGTCATAGGGGGGACACGAGGGGACATGGAGGGGGCATGAGGGGGCATGAGGTGGACATGGAGAGACATAGGGGGGCATGAGGGGACATTTGGAGACATGAGGGGACATGGGGGGGCATGGAGGGGCATGAGGGGGACATAAGGTGGACATAAGGGGGGCATAAGGGGGGACATGAGGGGACAAAGGGGGGACATGAGAAGGAGGACATGGAGGAACATGGGAGGGGAGGTTGTTGTAGGTAAGCGTTTTACGGCACTTGCGATAAATACGTGCCGGGAAGATTAATGGGTGGATGGATGGGTGGAGGGATGAATTGATGGAAGGATGGATGGATGGGTGGATAGATGGATGATGAATGGTGGAAAGACAGAAGGGTGGATGGGTGGAAGGGGGGACGGGTGGATGGATGGGTGGATGGATGGATGGATGATGGAAAGGTAGATGAGTGGATGAATGGAAAGTAGAGGGATGGATGAATGAACATGTAGATGTGAGGGTGGATGGATGGATAGAAAAGTAAATGGATGGATGGATGGATGAATGGATGGTTGGACGGATGGACGGATGGACGGATGGACGGATGGACGGATGGACGGATGGACAGATGGATGGACAAACACACAGGTGAGGGCATGGGTGAGTGTATCAGGAACACTAAGAAGGAACACACATCACACAAAACAATACAACATACAACGGACAACAACTACCCACCCTGGCTAAATCCTCAGCGAAGTTGCCCACGGTCTGTCGGCTACGTAGGGTGTAGCAGGGAGCCTGGGGCTTGCCGCTCTGTACGGTGGAGCCGATCATCCCGGGGAGGGAGTAGCTGTTGGCGGCTAGTGGGGGACACACAGACAGAACGCAGGAGTTATTGGGGGGATCACATACAGAGAGAGAAAGTGAGAAAGAGAGAGGAGTTAGAGAGAGAGAGAGAGGGGTAGAGAGGGGGGG